AGCGCCTTATTACGGAGGCCATTTGTTGGCCTCGGCTCCTTTTTGGGCGGGGTAAAGTGGGCGGGGAGTCATGTAACAGGTTGCCAGCCCATCACACAGGAGATTAGGCAGTCGGAAAATGGAAAAGCGGGGGCTGGACTGGGGAAAAGCGAGGAGGAGTAACAGCTGCTACCTGTGAGAGAAGAGTGGCTTACCCTTTTTTTGCCGGCTCTTGACGGGAAAAGCTGTAGAAGAGGCCTCGATTTTTAAGCCATGTCAGTCAGGCAGGAAGGACAGAACTAAGCCCTTGGCAGCTGGCTTTGCCCATCGCCCACCCCTTACACTGGAAACAAAAAATAGAAAATATATATACAACATCAAAAGATTTCATTTCCTGAACATTTCATTTTTTAGCATGGGAACTTTAACTTAATGCTGTAACCTAAACTATAAGAAGAAAATATTTTATATAACAAATGTTATTTCTCTCATTTCTCCCAGTGTCACCCACCTCCCATCCCTTAGGGCTGCTTTTGTACTTTGGAAAAAAGCAAATATTTGTATTTCTGCTTGAATGGCTGAACGATTGAACTGAGAGCGAAATTTGAACTGTAGCAAATCACACGCGTTTGATTGATGATTTGGCAGCAGTGCGGGGGCGTGGATTTGGGTATAAACCAACCAACCCAAAAAGTAACAAAAAATCCGAAATAAAAACGGAGAAAAGGTTGCTCTTCAGCTGAAGAGGGCGTGCACATGCCGCTGCTCCCTGTGTGTCTTTAATGTTTGTTCTATACGGCAAAGAGGGTAAAGGGAGCTGAGCTGAGCTTAGTTTTGTTTTGTTTCTTTTCTGGCAAAAACATACACAGAAATAACTCACATTAATATGCATTGCTGATAAGGCAGAATAACATTCAGGGTTTCCCGGCCCCTTTGGCCACCCACATAATCAAACAAAAGCAATAAATCAAGGCGAACGAAATGAATTTTGATTGTCATTGATTTATGTGCAGTGCAGTTGAGGCACAAACGAGGGCTGACCATCCGGCCATCCGCACGCATAATGGCAGCGATAATGATGACAGCACCGAGACGAAGGAAAGGTCCCTAAAAAGTATCTAGAACGCCTCCGGGCCATCCAATTGGGCCAATTCAATTAACTGTCATCAAATGACAATTACAAATGAAGGCGGCAGGTGTTCCCGAAGATGGAATCGATTTGATTTGAAAGAAGTCAAGCAAGCTTTGCGATGCCAAGAAAAATATTAAATTAATGGAATACAAATGAATGAATATAGTATAAACGGGATTAGAAGTTCTCTGTTTTAAATCAGTTTAGAAATTTATGAAATTATAATTTCTTTTTTACAGAACTCCCCAGAAAACCCGAAGTTAGACTTTTATGATTTTCAAACCGCAATTTCATCATAAAAGGCCTATTTAATGGAACCCTCCAAGGAAGACAAGCAGAACTTTTATGATTTCTGGCCCGCAGACTCTCCGCTGAATGTAGCCATTTTCATTAAAATTGAGTTCAATTCAAGGGTCGCACAAACAATAATTATGGCCTACCATTAGGGGCAGTCGTTTGGCCATAAACTTTGTACTCTCGCCGATCCCTGCTAATTGTTAAAAACTTTCAATTACACGGAAGACAGGGGGTAAACCGAAGCGCACCCCCCTTGAACCCCGCGTCCATGAAAAAGGGGGCTGGCGAAATGTCAGTCTGTGCGTCAGTTTGTCAAGTTGGGAAAAGTGAAAATTACATTTCAAAAGTAGTTGGCAAGTCGTCGGCTTTGCAGCTGCTTTTGTTTCACCGTTCTACGTGACTCGGCCAAATTAGAGGGGTTTCTGCGGAGACTTAGTGCCCACCCACCCCCAAAAGCACGCTTTAAGTGTGCCTTGAACTTTGCGGCAGAAGCGAACTGAGGAGGGCCTATTTGCGATGATTACACGGCGTATGAGTGATTTTAATTTAACGCAGAGATAAGCACACGAATGCCTAGCGACCGAGTCCCCGATTTGAGCCCTTCTGCTCTATTCACATACATATATGTAGTAAGTACCACAACATTCTGGGTTCGTGCCGGTTGCTTTAAGTAGTTATGCAAATATTAAGCGCACAGCCGCCTTTTGACCTGAAAAGTCAATAGGAAAAACTCACACGGCCACAGCAATGAGCACGGCCACTCGTACACGAACATTGAAGGCGTATGCACTTGCAGTGCGCCCTCCACTCGGGAACTTTTCTCCGGGGAAAGTCAATGGAGAAAGCTGCTTTCGCTGGCCTGATAACCGACACTGACAAACCGCATACCACTGCCGATTGCAAATGTCAAGAGCGGAGATTTTTGAAGGATTCCGATGCATAGTTGAGGGAAGCGCACTTCAAGTTATAAAATACCAAATAGTTTCATTTAAGTACATACTTTAATTACTGTTTAAAGGGCAAAATGTAAATCAAATATATTTATAAATATTTTCATAAACCCAATTTTATTATAAATATTAAACAGATTAAGTAACATAAGAGATGAAAGTATGAGTATCGTAATAAGCAGTATAAGACGCATTGAATAACCTTTATGTTTTTAAGAAAATCAACTTTTATATGTACAATAATTTTATTTATTTAAAAATTTATTGATTGCACTTACCTTATTGAATTCGCCGCACTTGCTGGGTGTGCGGCTGACCAACGGAAAAAACGAGAAATATGGATGGAGAAATCGAATTCCGAGAGTGTAAACTTAATTAAGAGCCTGCGAAGAGTTGATTTTGTTTGATTTACACGCCAGCAGCTGCATGCTTTAATTATACAGACGTGGGGTCGGGGCGAGGTCACTGGGTGGCCCTGACCCTTCGCCAGCCAACCAGCCAACCACCCACCCAGCGGGGTGTTTTTCGAGCAGCCAGCTGTCGCTGATTACCCACCAGGAAATGACCCACCGAAAAAAGCAAAGGCAGAAAGTCTCCCCGGCTCTGGCATTTCATGGCTCATTAGGCATGCACATACGTTTGCTCCCCTTCAGTTTGGGGATATGGAATCGGGTTCGAGGAGGTCCTGGAACAGGACGCCACACCACCTCCTGCAGCTCCTGCAAAATCGTAACAAATTCAATTTTCTACGACGCCGATTTGGTTTCCGCACGTCTTAAGCTATCGTCGGCTACAGTCGACGCCATGAATATAGTTATTGGCTGAAAGTGTTTGTCTAGATGTCTGTTGGTTGCCTTTTACCCCGCTCCATGGAGCCCCGCGTCGATACCGATTGCGCAGTAAAATAAATGATAAGAATCTGTGCGCTCTGCTCATGAATTACAAATCGCATAAAGGATTTGCCACTGGCTCAAGACAGCGGCAAGAACGAGCTGCTCCTTCCGTGCAGTCTGCACTGCAGACAGGATGCGGAGCTCTGGATGCGGAGCGGAAGGACCAGGTCCTGGCGGAGCACTGAAGGGCAGGGCAAACAACGCACAGCATGCCGGGCATTTTAATGCATTGAGAGGTTGGCCATTCCGGGAGCTCTTCAATGATTAGGAAAAATGCATTAAACTCGGGTTTTCCCAATCGAAAACAAGCGAATGTATGCAAATAAGCCTGAAATAGAAAATCCTTTTGCAATAAAAGTCATATTTGATTTTGTCATTAGTTTTCTTTTTTTATAAAACGTAGAATTTGTCAGCATTTGTATTAAGACTAATTATTAATTTCAATTTCTTCGTTAGGACTAGGCGATTAACCGTTTATCATTGGCAAATGCTCTTTACACAAATCAGAGCAACAAGTTTTGCCAGTTTTAAATGCTTAGTAATACTAATCAATTTTTACAGTTGATCAATTTCGGTTCCATTACAGATATTTATACAGTGAGTCAAAGGAGTTGCCTTTCTATATGGTAGAAAAAATTATTATCACCGTTGGTTTTTCTTGTTGTCGAAATTGGTTTAAGACATTTTCTTTTGGATTTTATTTTTGTTTTTGTTTGATTTTACTTTGTAGTACGCTTTTAGGAAAATATGCCATTCTAACACTCTAAGTAGACTAGGTTCTTGAAATTTATACAATAGATTATTGTTCTTGGTATTGTTTATTAGTGGTATCAATAAATCTGCTTAAGGTTCTCTCATCGTAAGGTATTTCATTTGTTTTTCGAATATAAAGTGGAAAAGGTTACAAATCAAAGGCAAAAAGGCAGGCGTGTTTACGGTCTAGTTTATATAGTTTAGATTTATTGGGAGGAAGAATATTAGATGATTGGAAAGAAAGAATGAAACGGGTAAGGGAAATCTCAAACAGCCATTTTCGAGTGGAAAAAGATAGAAAAGGTTTTATCGCGGCAGTCGATTTGGTTAGTAGAATTCCCCCACATTCGCCATCCACTAAATGGCAATATATCATATGCTTGTGGTGTTTCTGTTACAACTATTATGAGCACAATTAATTACGAGTTCTGCTAACGCCTGACAAATTCCTTAGTTCAATTAATTTCCCTCCTCTACCGCTCACAAAATATGCTAAGGCCACATTTAATTTATTTATATTTCTATACCTATTTAATATTCTTGAGCTCAACGCAACACTAGTGGCAAGAGCGTGGAACGTTATACTCTGTCCAACGTTCTTAATACATCTAATCAGGCTTCAGTTAAGGTAAAGTGAAGTGAAGTGCAGATTAGGGCAAACAAAGGAAATATAAAACGCCGTAAAAAGGGTAATTGAAACGAAATTGCTGCACACAATGTGGATGAAAAGTGTGAAGTGAACGGGCAAAGTAAACAAATTGGAATTGAAATACAGAAAGAGGAAAAAGGCGATGCAAGCTGGGAAAGGAAAAGAGAAGGAAAAATTGTTAGATATTCCTAAATACCTTAGTAAAAGGTATAGGCAAACTAGAACGGTTGATAAAATATTATAACTAAATCAATAAATTGCTAAGATTCAACGAATTTGTAAGGAATTTGTAAGAACATTTTTACAAAAATTCATAAAGCAAATAATATTATAAAAAGGTTAAAGGGCAGTTGGTCCATCAAAAGGGCTTAACCTTTAATTCAAGAGAGCTTGCTGCTGGCTAAATTGAATAAGGACACCTAATCTAGGTCTAAAACGAAATCCGGCATAAGCGTAGAACGTAAGCTGGCTAAAAGCTAATCATCGTTAAATATACATATATATACATAGTATACAGAAGCACATTTTTACATTTATTTTGTTTTACTCCTTTTTTACCGTGTTTCAACCTCTACCCAGTGACTTGCATTCAAATGTCGGCGTCCAGAATCTTGAATCGTGAGCGGAAAAAGTGTCAACACTCGTTTTTTCCTGGACGTGTAGTTGGGGGTTGGGGAGGTTGAGTATTTCAAGCGTTCATTATCACGCAACGATGGCGGCCATTGCGGATGATGTCGAGGATAATGATGATGATGACGGGTGATGAGAAGTGGGGGCAACCTGAGAATGATGCTGATGCTGCTGCCTGGGTTTATGTTGAGATTGGGATTGGGAACGAGAATGGGTCTGGGGCTGGGAGATGTGATGGACCGGAAAACTCCACAGAGCAAAAGGCATCTGCTGCTGGACCAACAAAAGCAGTTGGCGTAATTTGTTGGTCGTCGTTGTTGCTGCTGCCGTTTTATCCTTCCCCGCTGCCCCTGCTTTCCCACCATTTATTGTCGCCGCCGTGGCTGCTCTTGTTTCGCCCGGGCAGGTGGCACTGGCGTCATCCTCGCTCCCATTCCGCCTCCTGGAGCAGCGCATCTGCATCAGCTGCAGCTCGCCGCGTCGTCATTCATCCCAGAGGCACTGTTGTTTCTGCCGCACATAATAGGTGAACTGTGTGCACTTGCGGCAGGTCTTGATGCCGCAGCGATAATTCGTCTGCTGTGCCTGCTGGGCGCCCGAGGAGTCCGCTCCGGCTACTCCCTTGCCCTTGCAGTACTTCAGTCCGCAGGGATACCAGCCGATGCAGGTCTCCAGTTTGCACAAACAGGGCGCCCACAGGCTGCTCACCTCGTTGCAGCGCGTCGAGAGCGTGTCCGGGAACTTCTCGGTGGCTGCCTCCAGGCTGGAAATCGAGGAACCTGTCGGATCCGGGGTACAACGGAAAAGCGAAATAAAAACGTAAACAAAAAGTTTAAAGTGGAAAATTCCCCTAGGATCTTGCCGATATCTACACTCAAGTTTTCTAAAATTTTATTATTTTTGCCGAGATTTCAGTCTAACTTTTTTATTTTTCGGCGCAACATAGCAAACTTTTAGTAAATATTTGGAAATGCTTTTATCTTAAATGAGGTTTGGTATATTAGGTATTATTTGGTAAGTTATCTATTAAAATTGGCAATCCTACTGAGTTTACTTTCGGCACTCTTGAAATCATAGTCAAACAGGGTGTCGCAACCCTGAAAATATATCCACAAAGAGCACTCACCTGGCAACTCCGCCCAAGCCTTGAGGTCCACATCACGCACGTAGGTAGCGTCCATGGCCTCGGCGCACAAGCCCTGTAGATGTCTGGTAATGGGCAGGGAGCGATTCAGTTGCACCCAGCTGCTCATTGTGAAGGTCTCCCGGCCCTTGTCCTCCTCGGGAGTACGGATGGTGTGCGGATTCTTCTGACGCAGCTTGGCCATAGCCGCCGAGGAGATGAAGTCGCCCTTGTTAAACTTAGTAGCGAAGCACATAACCTGATACTGGCTCTGGCCGCGCTCCTCTTCGCCCAGGACCAAGGCCTTAAGGATTTGAACCTCCTGCAACCGAAAGGGAAATATATATTTTAATTTTAGTTCGGGGTGTCAGATTCCCTTTCACAGCTTGAAGTTCATTACTTACATTGCGAAAGTCGATGACCTGGGTGATGAGCGTGCCGTCGGTCTTCTGAAACTCCAGAGTTATCAGGTCGTCGTTGATGTTGGAGGTAATACTCTCCTGGATCACCTCGCCACCCTGCAAAAAATCGGATTAGAGAGCAACAAGTATTAAATTACTTTCTTGGCATTCCTCCCCAACCCAACTAAAATATTAATGCGGCACAAAGGCAGTCATGAGATGAGATGGTGCTCAGGGGTTCCTTGTGTTGTCAGGACTTAAATTAACTATGACAGTACCTGAAGCTAGGCGGCCATGAACCAAATTAGAGTCAAGAGAGTTGAAAAATAGAAAAAAAGGAAAACATAAGGGGCCAACGAAAACAAAACGGAGATGAGATGGGCTTTGGCAAAGGGCAGGATGAGAGCGAAGCAGTGAACTCTCGTCACCATCACCGTCACCGCCACCCCCAACATCTCGAAATGTAGTTCAACAACAACCAAATTCGCCCTTTACACGTGTACATGAACAAATAAGTTGGTTGTGGGTGCTATTGTCGCTATACTCTGCACCAGGAACTACGATTTTGGACAAGAGTTTCTGAGATTAGATAAAATATTGGGTTTTTGCCGGTCTAAGTACATATCAAGAATATATCTATTTTATTAAAATGGAAATAGATTGGTGATAATCCTTGCTCTAGTGTTTAAAACATTTTAAAAGTTTTACACTGGCTTAAAAATATATAAATTCCAGAATTTTATCTCATATGTTATTTGACTTTAACTTACAAAATAGTACGATTTCAAGGGTACACGGATTTTCGGTCAAAACTAAACATTTATTTTCTGTTGTTTTTGTTCTTGTTGCTGCTAGGTTTTCCGTGTGTTTGGACAAAGGCGGATGTAAACAAAGAATAACCGTGGAAAGAGAGAAGGTAGGAGGATGAAGTAGATAGAGGGGAAGTGGAGCAAAGTAAGAGATGAGGAAGAGAGCCATCAGAACATTTTGGGGCCAGGGACAGAGGACTGAACAATGAAGGATGTCACATGTAAACAAATATGGCCCCGTATGTGCAAGAGAGATAGAGCAGATAGAGAGAGAGAGACCCAGAAAGCGGCTGCCAGTTTTCATTACAAAGCCCGGTGCTTTTTGGCCAACTAATCTAAAATTTATGGAAAAGCCGAAAGCAAAGTGTCAATATTGAGCAAGTCAAACCCAGCCAACAATTGTCACAGAGGAAAAATTAAACGTCAGGGAAGGGAAAGTTATTTTGGTGACATTGAACTGCATTTATTTTATTGGATGGCAAAAAATTAATTTCTTTGATGTTTCAAAGCATTGGAATTATAGTATTTGTATCCACTTATAACAATTAGAAAACCTGAATATGAATTTTTAAATTTCAGAGTTTTTAGACGCTAATTAAACCTTCTCCCTGCAAACAGTTTTAAGCAGATTAATTTCCATTAACTAGTTCTTTTGGTTTCAAGCTATTTTTAGAGTTAAACTATTAAATTTATAATAATATACTCTTTAGAACCTTTAAAACTTGATTGCAAACTGAAATATTTATTTTGCTTTGACACCTCTCTTGCACTCTCACTCTCTCGCATTTTGAATTGTTTTGTTTTGGCGCGCTCATTTTCGAAATGAGATGTTCGAAAAACAAATGGGCAGCGCTGCCAGCGTCGTTGTTTTTTGTTATTGCGTTTTGCTTTTGTGACATTTAAAGTATTAATTTTAGTTCGCACCTGATTTTGGACGTTGATGAGGAGCTGGCATCGGGCGCGTTCACCGCTAATTATTAAATTGCAGAGCAGGAACCACAAAAAACCGCGACTGCGCTTGAAAAAATGATTCCGACTTACGACCCGACCGGAGCAACTGAAACGCTGATGGGTTTTATTAATGGCGTTATTATGAGTTAGTCGCCAGCGGAGGTGCGTTTGGTGAACTGCATGGTCCGCGTTTGCCAGTTGCTGTTGCGGATGCTCCCCTTCCAGGATCATTTCGGACTACACTCACGTTAAATCTTAAATAAAACTGCACAGAACAACAAAACACTCGTATTATTCCGAACAATTTAGCTGTAGTTTGCCCGACTTTTCCCGGCCGAGTTGGAAACCCGACTGATGCGAAATGAAAATAACTGACAGACGAAAAGGGGAAAATTTTCTGGAAAGTGACTTTTCGTAATCAGCTGATTGATGTGACCGTACACCGAATCCAAAATGCGGACTGCCCATCTGCTGGAAATGCAGACTTCTCAATGCGGCAACCCCAAAAATACTAAAAATATGTAGTACCAAAATTACAATTGAACTATTTTTTATTATTTTTATTTATTTATTTATAAAACATTTATGAAATTATAAATTGCAAAGTTAAAAATGTTCCAAAAAATAGTTCGTTCACTCCATTTGGTAGGGTCGGATGAGCATTTTGCACGACTTGAGATTAAGTCTGCCCCTATCATTCCATTTACTCCACCAAATTCCGTTTACGTCTGAGAGGTTCATTGAGGTTGCATGGTAAAAGCCATTTAAGTTGCTAAAAAAATAGAAAATGATAATATACTTAATACGATATCAATTTAAGTAATTACCATTGAGATTTGTCCCACCAAGACCAATGAAAGGTTCTGCCGTAAAATTCATAAAAACAGGCAGAGTGTACGAATTTCTTTTGAATAGAGGTAGACAGTGCATCACCAGCAGTTCCTGAGTATTCTCCAAGGGACTTGAGGGCGTAACCTTCGTCTTCGCTTCCAACCACAAAGTTATCATATCTAGCATAGGCAATGGCATCTTCAAAATCGACAATTTGAATGTACAATTCATGTCTACGACTTGTAGTCAACTTATGCAGCTTTTCGCATCCAATCCAGAATTCTTTTGTAAGATCTCCAAATCCAAGCTTAAACCATCTATCGTGCATGAAGTTCAGCGTGTTAAAGGATACAGACCCATCGATGCGACGCTGGATTACCATCCATTCTGGACCGGTAGAGGCATGGCTGCCAATTTGCGTACTACGGAAAATTTGTACTTTTTGCATTACTTTTTGACTAAAAGTGTCAGTTCCCGATAGATTTGTTTTAGCTTTTTTTTTGGATTTTTTAAATAATTTTTTTGGCTTTTTCCTCCATACTTCCCGTCTAAAACAGCTTTTTTTGCTAGTCAAAAGTTGGCAGCACTGGGTAGAGGCAATATCTTCAAAAGCGGCTTCAAAGTCTTCGACTCCCGAATGTCTTATTATTCGAATCCCATCCTTTTCATCGTGTTTGACTAGGGATTCTAGCTCGGCATTTCGCTCATCTCTTATTATCAGTTTGATTGCAAGTTCACTTAACTTCTGAATTAGTTCTAAGTTTTTTTTCTCTGCCTCTTTTAGTTTGCAGTCCAAGTCTGTAACATCCATGACTCGATTAAGAACCTATAAAAAGCACATCGAAATGATTCATCCTTGGGTTTTTTAAAATAAAAAAGGTTTTAAGATTATATAAATTCTAAAAAGCTCTATTAAGATTAACTAAAAATAGGTTTTTTATTTTTGCATCACAGTGCTATAAAATGCATAAAATTGTGAAATTGTCTGTCATTAAATGGTAGCTTTTTTTTTTTTACCCCTACAGTAGATTTAAGTTTTGTAAACCTAAGTCTTCTTTTTAATAATAATAAATAAAACTTTATTTTTATGCAATGAAGGGTTTCGTGGCAATCTGTATAATGTAACAAACTCAAGTCGGAATTGCATACCTTATATAAATATGGCACTAGCTGGATTTTGTATTTTTTATTGGAGCAACTGTCTTCAAAGACATGTAAAGCAGAACTGAAGCTAGAATAAAAGCTTGAGGGGTACAATAGATGAAATCCGATCGCTGAATAGCAATTGTTCAGCGATTCTTGAATCATTAGGGTGGACCAAGTAAACTGTATAATACGCATTGATGAAGTCTTAGTTACTGTGGTATCTAAATCATAATTTGGTATTTTCACCGCAAGCGATTACACTGACATCACAGCTGATGCACTACTATGCACTAAAACTGGCCAAAACGCGTGTCCCGCAGTCGCTTGTGACGTGTTGTTTTTTTGTAAACTATGTTTTTTAGCCACTAAGAGGGTCATAGTTTATTAAAGATCCACTCAACCGACTTGAATCGCCGGCCGATAAAAAGACCACAAAATGCTTAGCCTGCGGGAACGACAAATCAGTGAGAAACGGCAAAAACAATGCCTCCTGCCAATGGAAAAACTTAATTAATCGGTTTTCTCCTTATCATTCTAGATGCCATTAAGCAGATGCTTAATTTGAACTCGCAGCAGCCGAAGGCATTAGCTGCAGAGCCCGTTTGGAAGATTCTGATCTATGATCGCGTTGGCCAGGACATAATATCTCCCATTATTTCTATCAAGGAACTTCGAGAATTGGGCGTGACCCTGCATGTGTAAATTTCTTAGGATACTACAGGAATCCAATGTTATACCAATTTCTATTCTACCCACAGGCAACTCCATTCAGATCGCGACTCTATTCCCGATGTGCCGGCTATATACTTTTGCCTGCCCACCGACGAGAATCTTGACAGGATTCAGCAGGACTTTTCGAACGGACTTTACGATGTGTACCACCTAAACTTCCTGGCTCCAATAACACGCAGCAAAATCGAGAATCTGGCGGCAGCAGCCCTTCATGCCGGCTGCGTGGCCAACATCCATCGCGTTTACGATCAGTATGTGAACTTCATCAGTCTGGAGGACGACTTCTTCGTCCTTAAGCACCAGCAGAGCGAGCAGCTTTCTTACTACGCCATCAACCGGGCCAATACCCGCGATGAGGAGATGGAGGTTCTGATGGACTCCATCGTGGACTCTCTCTTCGCCCTATTTGTGACTTTGGGAAATGTGCCCATCATCCGCTGTCCACGAAACAGCGCCGCTGAAATGGTGGCCCGTAAGCTCGAAAAGAAACTGCGCGAGAACCTTTGGGATGCACGTGCCAACTTGTTCCATATGGATGCAACGCAGGCCGGCGGCGGAGTTTTCAGCTTTCAACGACCCGTGCTGCTGCTGCTTGACAGAAATATGGATCTGGCCACGCCGTTGCATCACACCTGGTCCTACCAGGCTCTAGTGCACGACGTCCTAGACTTGGGACTGAATCTGGTTTACGTTGAGGATGAGACAACCAGTGCGGGCAAGTAAAATGTCTCATTACATTGTAATAATAATATATAATAACCATTTTTAGGTGCCCGCAAGAAGCCTAAGGCCTGCGATTTGGACCGCAACGATCGGTTCTGGATGACGCATAAGGGCAGTCCATTCCCCACAGTGGCCGAGGCCATTCAGGAGGAGCTAGAGTCCTATCGCAACTCCGAGGATGAGATTAAGCGCCTGAAGACTTCCATGGGCATCGAGGGCGAGTCGGACATTGCCTTTTCGCTGGTCAACGACACCACCGCTCGGCTGACCAACGCTGTTAATTCTTTGCCCCAACTGATGGAGAAGAAACGACTGATCGACATGCATACCAAGATCGCCACTGCTATCCTTAACTTCATCAAGGCACGCCGACTTGATTCATATTTCGAGATCGAAGAGAAGGTGATGTCAAAGCAGACACTGGACAGGCCACTGTTGGACCTGCTCCGAGATGGAGAGTTTGGTCAGGCGGAGGACAAGTTGCGCCTGTACATTATATACTTTATCTGCGCCCAGCAGCTTCCCGAATCGGAGCAGGAACGGCTCAAGGAGGCGCTGCAGGCGGCCGGTTGTGATCTGACAGCTTTGGCGTATGTTCAGCGTTGGAAAGGTATCATGAACCGTTCACCGGGCATCAGTCAGGCCACCCAGTATGAGGGCGGTGGCACTAAGACTGTGTCCATGTTTACTAAGCTCGTCTCACAGGGCAGCTCCTTCGTTATGGAAGGTGTCAAGAATCTGGTGGTCAAACGGCATGTAAGTATTTTAATTCTTTAAATAAAATTGGATCGTATATCAAATTCCTTTCAGAATCTGCCAGTTACCAAGATCACCGAGCAAGTGATGGAGTGCCGCAGTAACGCGGAGACCGATGACTACCTTTATTTGGATCCCAAGCTTCTCAAGGGCGGTGATGTCCTGCCCAAGAACCGGGCTCCATTCCAGGACGCCGTGGTGTTTATGGTTGGCGGAGGCAACTACATAGAGTACCAGAATCTGGTTGACTTTATAAAACAAAAGCAAACATCAAATGTGCAAAGGCGGATCATATATGGTGCTTCCACGCTCACTAACGCGAAGCAGTTCCTCAAGGAGCTCTCGGCCCTAGGCGGTGAGATCCAGTCCCCGTCGGCGACGAGTTAGGAGCGGCTGCATCGATTCCATTGCTGCTGAGCGGAGTGGACCGGGTTTTGGGTGCATGTGTGTCTGTGTGGCTTCTTTCGTTTACTTTAAGCATATCCAAAAATAAATTAAATGCCAGGCAAAAAAGAGAAATAAGCGAAGCAAGAGGGAAACTCAGCACTCGGCAATTACTCCAACCTGACGCTTAATCCCCGAAGGACAACAAGCAAAAACATGCGTAGCCTCGTGTACAACAAGCCCAGGGAGCTGGTGTTGGAGCTGGAATGGGAGTTCGATGGCGGGGAGGGGCACTCGCATTCTAGGCACCCATTAACACCAACTTGGCAACGCTTTGATGGACAGCTGACAGACAACCAGTCAACGGCTGAGGCGATGATGGCCCCAGCCCGATTCCTGATGCCTTCGGCGGCGGTGCCACAATTATGGGGCGACAACTATGCGCGGCACTTGGGGACAGGCGCAGAAGCTGGCAGGGACAGCACCCAGCAATTAGCACTATCCCTGACCAACTATGAATGGACAGCCGATGGCACAGCACTGGAGCACTCAACGGCCCCTTTTCAAAGCACTGCAGCAGCACTGATTGAATGTCGCTTCTTTGGGAGACGGGCAGGCAGGCAAGTCAATCAAAGAAGAGCGTTAAATTATCGCTGAAAACCCATCTTCGCCCTGGTTTGAAATTGTCTTTAAAACCTTAATATGTAGATACTATTTTATCAAATCTTTAAGAATTGGATTTATATGGAAAGGAAACAGCCAAAACATTGAAAACTCTTTAAACTGAAGTTTACATTTGTTTTTTAAATTATAGTAGTAAAAGTAGTTTAAGTTTTTCCAATTGAAAGTATTTCTAAACAGATTTAGAGTGTCCACTGTAGGAAGTTTCCCGAGATAAGCGGCAAACAAATACCAGAAATGGGAAAAATATGGAAAAGAAAAAACCGATCCATGGGCTAATTAACACTTTTGGTAAATCAGAATTGATGGCCCCGCTGAAAGGGCACAGAAGAGATGATGACGCTGACGATGACGATGATTATTCATGGAGCGTTGAGTTTAAATATTGGTTTTGGTTGGGCAGCCGGGGTTGGGTTACTATCCAGACTACCCGTGGCCACAATTTAAATGTTAACATAAACAAGAGCAATTTAACAAAAGCCCAAGACCCAAAAAAAAAAGGCCAAAAATACAGAAGAAAAAGAGAAGTCGAACTCCCAGCCAGAAACTGGTAACCCAAAGTGATTTCACGGGTGGTCCGAAAAGATGCGGCTCAAACAAATCATAAAGAAAAAATGAAGAGGGAAAACGACTACAGAAACTAACAACGAGAACGCAACATGAAAGAAATTCTTAACTTGCCACATGCATGAATCGATTATGTGGTAAATGCAACTGTCCCAGTGTGCGTGAGTATCTGTGTGGTGTGGAGCCCAGAGAAGCTCCTCCGCAGTCGAGACCCAAAAAATCGAGGAAAAAAAATGGTCAGGCAGCCGTTTCCCACATTCCTGCTGTGAATCATAATGGCCGCCGCTGTCGTCGTCTTGGTTCTTTTGGATATTCTTGGTCTGCCAGTTCCCTCGGACCTCGGCCCTCCGATCTTCGCCAGCACACCGATACACACTCGCCGACATCCCATACATATATCATAATCTTAACAACTCTTAACAAGGCAGAACAAATTCCAAAATTCGAGGAGCCGGGCTCGAACAGCCAGTCAGGCGGTCGGACGATCCCACAAAATGAAGTGCCGGCCAGACAGAGAAGGCGATCTTCAGCTTCGGGTTCGGATCTGCAGACCCAATGAATGGACGATGACGAAGTGGAGAGTCTTCAGAGATCCGGCCAGATATGAGGCTTCATTTTCCAATATATAAGCCCTTAATACTTGATCTTAATAAATGATTTTCTTAGATCTATAAATTTCAACTCTAGATAAAGTAAACTTTTGGGGTAATTATTGTTAGATAGCGCAAGTAAAATTTTGAAATCAATACTTTAATAAGCATCTTAATACATATATTAACTCTTTTTTACTTATATCTATATAAATGTAAAAAAATAATAATAAATAATCTAATTCGGAAATAAATATACATTTTTTTGATCTTTCATTGTAATATTTTAAATTTCTGGGTTATATCTGGATCATATTTATTTGTTTCTAACTATGATTTGAAGTCCCCTTTGTCTCTTTGCAGTGCATTTAAAACTGTAAGTTCTGTTTGATCTACTAAGACATCTGGATTCCTATTTACTACTAGCCGACCCAGTAGCACAATTCACCCTCCTTGCCAGTATTTTTCTGCCCTATCCTATTGTTGTTCTCATCTGGGCTGGTGCTACCACAAACATTTTTTGGGAACCGCCACCTTCGGTGGTCCTCCTGGCGATCGGGAGCGGCATGTTAATTAATCAGCCAAATAATAATATGGCAGCCCGTCGAAGAAGAAACGAGCCGAAACGCTGAGAAGAGGTTCCAAATATTTGCCGGCAATAAAAGAGCAGTCCGGAGTGGCTGGATGGATGGATCATCCTGGAAGGAGGGGAGTAGGAGCTGGCTTGTTAGCGGCTTGTTAGCCGGCCTACCAAAAACATGCTAAATAAAACAAACAAAAAAGAGGCCCAAGAGTGAAATAAAATAATAATAAAAGATGAGGACCCCGCATGGCTGTGGGCCATTTCCTGAAGCCATCAGAGAATGTGCAACAAGAAATTGATTTAAACAAAAATCTTATTGCGTGACGCATCACATGGTTGGGCCACGCCCCCTTTGGCCAGTGATCATTAAAACAAAACGAAAGCAAAACCGAAATAAATGCAAGGAAATTGTAACCGGCTGGGGAATGGTACGAAAGGGGCAAGAGGGGCTCTTACTCAAAGAGGAACCCTACTTTTCTGGGTCTTCATTATCCTGGCCTCGGGCGCTTTTTTGTTGGCCGGACCGCTCCTAATGGCCACCAACAAACAGCAGCCAACAGCTTCATCAAACATAAACAAATACACTGGACATGGTCGGCTCTTACCCCACATGCTGTTCCTGGGGAGGGGAACTCCCATTGATCACTGAGAATAAATTGGGATAAGTTTGAAAATACTTACATTGATTTTAGTAAATTTAATGAAGGTGTTACTAGTCGTTTTTATATAATTTATATAGTTTTCTTAAAATATAATATGTCATTATACTACTATTTTTTTAGTATTCAGTGAAAGAAAGGTGACAAATAAACTTTTCTGAGTGTGCGTTGAATCTTCGGGTCAGACTGGAGAGCTAAAGCAACGTCGACGACGACGTTGCCTTTGCTTTACGATCGCGTATCTCAAGTTTATCGCTTCATTTTCCATGTTTTATGCGCAATTTATGCCGCACAGCCCCAGCCAAAGGCCCATCCTCGCCGGCACTCCGCTTAACCCCCTCAAACCTCTGGATCTTGGCCAGTTTGGTGGCCTGTGCTGACGCTTCTTTGGCTGGGGCTGGCAATTGCACACGCACCGCTTTGTCTGCCGGAGAATCTGTTCCTTGGTCTGCGTCTGCAGCATCTGCGTGCCCTGGGAACTGAAGAGAAACGAGGAAGCGAGGACCCAGCCCATATCCAAGCCTCTCGTCCTCCCAACTCCCAGCTCCATTGGGCATAAGTAGTTTTTGCTGCTCTGCCAGCGATGGTTTTATTTCTGCGTGTGGTTTGTTTTAGACTCGTGCATAATAAAGTCGAACTAACATGCGGTTACAAAACAGAACGGTTTAGGGTTTTGGTGGCTGTGGGGGTCCGAAATAGTTTTTATTGGGGGAAAATTAAGTTTACGTTTTAGTGGTTTAGTGGCATCTAAACAAGAAATAAAAGGAATACTTTGAAAGATGGTCGGCAGTAGTATTATTATTAATACCTTTTAGAAACCAATTTAGGAAGAGTTGTATATTCTTATAATTCCTATAGAAAAACTATGTCTTAACTATTTACACTCCTTAAATAAATAATAACATGACAAATGTATGATTTATAATTTGTAAAGTGAATGTTAGAAACATGACTCTAACCCACCTGTAATTTGTTTTGAAGAATTCAACCTAAGAATCCACTTCCATTTTCCCTACATCAATGACTTCTCTAAGAACTTGGGCAATTAGCTGCCGCTTTGTAGGCAATTAACTGGCGATTAATGGGCACACACATACCCTCGAAATGGGGGTTATAAAACTGTTCCAACTGCCTACACACTCGCCTTTCTTCTCGTTCTCGCTCTCGCTCTTGGGAAACCTCCGCTTTCATTTATTTGAGTATGTGGTTAATTTTTTATTTTTATGTTTTGTCAGTGTTTATAATTAATCACCTGTTGTATACATCTGTGGTCCCGGTTCCTTTCCGAATCCAAATCCCTCCCCTGTCCACCTGTCCGATCCTCTTTCTCTAGCGCCATTAGCGCCGGCTTGCCCTGCGCTTTGATGTCTTTATTTACTAATTTCCCGCTTATCATTTGGATGTTTTGTAAATTGAAACATTTTCACTAATTGCCTGAAAATTTGTTGCCCCGCTGCAGCAGATGTCCCAGGGAAAGGCACAATAGGCACCTCGAGTGCCCTATGACCCCTCCGACGGCAATTAGAAGCCGCAGCGGCAATCGTCAACATCCGGTGATCAGAACGCTCAGAACGGAGAGTCACTAAACTAAAAGAAAAATTGAAAATTATGTGGGCGAGGGTTTTTCCAAGAAAAAATGCATACGCAACTCGGGGAGTTGGAGAAGCAACTGGCAACTGACTCTTGACCATGTTCAGCATAGAGAGTCATTAACTTGAACATCGATTTACACTGGAAAAAAACGTGAGGAGATTGAACAGGAATTACTAACCATATTTGTATGTCCAAAAGGTCTTAGACAAACTAAAGTTAAAATGATGACCTAATGAATAGTACCATAAATACTATTTAAATTTTTAATTTAATTCTAGTGTAACGCATTTTATTTCCTAGCTCTTAAGATTTTTAAATATATTTAATTATTTTTATAAATTTACAATATGCTTTTAACTTTATTGCTCAGTGCAGGCTCGGACGATTCTCGCATCCTGGTCACACACTCATTGCCATCAGCGTCTTTTGTTTTTAAGGCCCAAGCGCCGCCTGGCCAA